TTTGTGAAATAAATAGCATTGTGAAATAAATATCTTATTATTCATTATTGCAATTAAAGTTATTATTTTATCTTCAATTATTTTTAATGATATATAATTTTTATGATATATAATATTTTTTCACATTTTAAAAATGATTATTATAAAGATTAATTATGTGGCTGTTAAACATACTATAAGCTAAAAAACACTGAAACACTTCTTTCATTATCTCACGTCGTTGTTTTCAGGCCGATTCGAAAATTTTCCGTGTCATTGTCAAATGTCCTGGCATCTCTACATTAATGCGAAATCCATGTTATCTGCAAAGCAATGGCAGACTCTTCCCGACGAAAATAGTACGAAAAGTATACATTGCAGTCTTTTTATCATTCTCTCGCTAGATCTAATGTGTTTAGGTTTTCAATCATTCCTTCGCGAGTCGTAACTGAAGTCATCATGAAATGCAATTAACTTTGGAGAAGAAAAAAGATTTCTCGAGAATATAATATTTCACGGAAAAAATCCTTCATATCTCCATCTATAAGTCGTTTTTCACAAAACTATAACAATTTATTAATTCTAACATTTTTTTATTAGAAGGTAGTTATACATAATAAATATTTATAGCCTTTTCCAAAAGTTTCATTATAAAACATAATATTGTGACTGTATTTTTTTTATGTTTATTATTTATGCGTTTCAAGACTGAAAAAGATTTTGGCTTGTAGTTTGCAGAATTCGATGTACATAAATTTACACTGAAATATTTAAGATTTATCATGATTGAAAATACGATTATTTAATTTAGTTATTCTCTTCATTTATTCTCGTTTAGATTTAATTTTCAATTATAATTATCTACATTTATTCTTATTATTTTCATTGGATAAGCAAACATAACATAATTTTTGACCCATAATTCTACTGCGTATATATTCTTTTTCTATTTATAATAAGCTAATATTTTAGTTGCAAAAAACAGCTATTCAAATAAATAACGATTGTAAATAATATAAAACCATTTATATTTATTGTGTTAGTAGAACGTTAGAATATAATGTACAATAATATACGCTCGTGCAACTAATTTTAATCGATAACAGAAATAATACCTTTTTCTGGAAAAAGTATTGAAATAGATAGAAATTTTAAATTTTGTTACAAAGATACATATTAGGTGTTGGAATTAATTCGTAGCGTTTTACAAGTGATGGGAAGTACTTTCATTAATGTATTTTTTAATGTTCATGTGAAATAAATAACATTCTTTCATTAAAAACGCTACGAATTAATTCCAACACCTAATAATATCTAAACATAGTCGTGATTAAAGTACGATTTCGTTCAATATTCTCACTCTGTGAAAAGTTTCTCACTCAAAAGATCTCACTTTAGAAAAAAAATTTATTTTTAAATAGACTAAAGCTGTAATTAAAATAATAAAAATATTTAGTAGTTTTAATCATTCCATTGCCTTACTAGAAAATTACATGAAACATTTATTTAAAACATTGTCATTCTAATTGGAATTATAGAGAAATTTAGCTCACTGTAAGTAAAGGGAAGACATATATGTACAATAATATTTTCTCGCGAATTTTATTCAATGTGTCATAAAAAGAACGTGTTGGTAACACGTTCGAGGAATGTGACAATTGTGAGGAATGACGTAGGAAGACAATGAGGACGTTTGCTCATCGGAAATGTAGAGTTAAAATTTGCTTTTAACTCACACAGTTGAGAGCGAGCGACGGGAAAGATATATACTCAGTCAAAAGAACTTTTCTTCTCAAGCAAATTAGGGTAGCGTCGCGTCAAAGCGGCATATATTTTTTAAAGTATTTTAAAATACTTTATCTTACCGTCATTTCAAAGTAATTGCTTTAGAAATACAAGTTCCGAACTTTTGCCACTTGCGAAGCCATGGCTCAGCACTTTGTAAGTACGGAGTATTTCACAAATTAACTTGCTACGTAGTACAGACTTTCTAATAAATCAAGATTGAATCTTATATAGGATGTCTGAGAATCACCAAACGTTTTATAGACAATTCCACGATACTCATTAAAAATTTATTAAAAATATGCAATTATAATCATTTAACTATAATTATTTAACAATTAACATTAAACCCTATTAATGTAAGATTTAGATTCTGTCTTCTCTTATAGAAATTTAATACTGAAAAGAAGTAATTAATTTCTTATTTTGAATATTAAAAGTATTGAATAATATTACTTTTAATACTCAATTTAAAACAATTTTATTTATCAATTCATTTTCGGTGTTAAAAAAATCTGTAAAAATTATTTTGTCCCGTTCATGGTCTAGAAAACAAGTTTAAATTTATTCAACAGTATTATACATAAAAATCAATTATAATAATGTATATTAGAAATTGAATAAATGAAAAAAATTAAAATATTATATTCTTGAAATTTAAATTTGCCTACACGAAAGAATAACAGATAATAAATTAATAACAGAATTTATAAGTATAATTTCTTAGAGCTACTTTACATTACTCTTTATATCAAACGAAAATTAAGAATGTTTATTTTAAGAATGTTTATATTTATTTTTAATTCCATTTTATGCAACATATGTTAAACGTATAGAGATAGCAAATGCTAAAAACTAAAGATGATAATACCCACTGACCATTTCAATACGATCAAATAAATTATCCTTCCTAACAGAATCTGATATATCCGTTGAGATTGCATTTCTGCTTTCGCATCGGACCAATTAATTTTCTGTCAATGCAAACAAATTGTATTTCTATCGGTTAGTTATTACTGTTATTTTTCGTTTAAAAAGTATGAATTCGTTAGAAAACACATTAATATCCATTTAATCGATAAATATATACACAAATGTAGTATTTTTTTTTTATGAAAGCATAGGAAGTTTCCTTATAGAAGTTTCCTAATATTTTGGGCATATTCCGATTTTCAAAATAAAGCTTGAGAGAGAATTCCAATGGTAATGATATCTTGAATATATTCAGATTTTAATACGTACTTAATATATTAATGTAACGAATATATTACAAATAAAATACAAAATTTCTCTAACGTACTTAATATTTAATATCATACTTAATTCATAAAAATAAACGTTCCATAAAAATGCAGTACAAAAATTACATTGCATTTTCTTTTTATTTATTAATTACTTGACATTAATATATAATCTGGTAATAAGTCTCCAATATCATACAATATTCATTCACACACATACCGTTTTTTTTTTCAATTCTTCCTTTTCATACACTTTCAACAAGTACAAACTTCTCATTCATTGTCAGTAACATACAGTTGCCAATTCGTTAAATGATGCTCACAATCTGAGCGAGCTTCTTCCTAGTAAAGTAATTGTGACGAATAGCAAAAATTGCAATTTCTCATTTCAAAATTGAGAAGCATTTACAAATAGTTAAAGCAAAAAAAAAAAAAGAAATTATATTCATATAATTCTAGCGCGATACTTGCATGAGATAAATAAAAGGCATAAAAATCAACGAAAGAAAATTTATATCTATTATCTTTAATTTAAAAAATCACGATATTCAAGTTTGAAAAATATGACGTAATTATATAAATATAAATATCGATCGTGCCTTGTAATACGCAATTTCTTTTACACTTTTGCGTTAAACCGAGCGAGTACATACGGAACACATAATATAGTTTCAGTCTGTATATTATTTATGCGCCTAGGGACGAAGAATGGGAGTGGAAATGGAAGTAACATGCTCTGAATAAGCTCCGATTAAGCTCGCTGTATTCAGCTTTGTCGTTCATACACGCATTGCACACACCCCAAAAGTTGCATGCCACTGACACTATGAACACAACCAAAACTTGCCTTCCTTCTTCTCTCTCTCTCTCTCTCTCTCTCTCTCTCTCTCTCTCTTTTTCTGTACAATGAAAACTATATCACTAACATGGTATGTTGTTCCCAAAATGAGGCAATTCCTGCGATTGCATAATGTGAATGGTCGGCATAATCCAAGATTATATGATTATAGCGACACGCATAAGAAATTGAGCTGCGAATACTGCGTTTTTTCAGACGATACAGTTTGCGATTCGAAGATCAAAGAGCTGATTTTCTTAAGTAAATCAGATCTGAATTTTGTAAAAAGTCTATTTTATTGTAATCAAGATTGTGCAAATTATTTTGGTAATGGAAATTTTAGATACTTTGAAAATAAGCTCCTCAATGCGACGGTAAGAGTCTTTCAAATGCTGAAAAGAGGATAGTCATCGCTATCAAACGTTCACTTTGTCTGAGCTATATACGATGCTCCAAACTTGATCGTTCTTACTTTTACACTGAGAGAAGTATTTGATTATGATTAGTAAAATAATTATAATTAGCAGCTTATAATTTTATTTTTATAGTTATTACGGTTGCAATGTTAATAATAATAACATTAGTTTACAAATTTTGAATAATTTGCGATCAAGTAATCTTTTTTTAATGTTTTCTTTTTAATATATTTCAAGTGCTAAGTTCGAATTTGCCGCTAAAGAAATTTCATTAGATTAGTTTTTAGATACATCTAAAAAAATCGAATAAAATTGATGGAAATATTTTGATGGCAGATTCAGACTTAGTATCAAAAATTATCTTAGAAACAATCTTCATACTATATGTTGCAAAAAATCTTGTAAACTAGTGTAATTATAATTTTGTTATACCAAAAAATATATAGAGGTCCAAAAATTGTGGCTTAAAATATTATAGCAAAATAGTTCTAAAAAAAAATTTAAAAAATTAAATTTTTATTTTAAGCAATAGCTTTAGATGGCTTGTGATTTGTAAGTGTACTGAAGTGCGCGTTTACTAAACTATCGCACGCGCGACTCCTAGACAAGTGGCCGTCTATAATGGCTATATAAATCTCTTATTGTCTCAAAAGTTACTGTTTAAAATAAAAATTTATCAATAATTGTTTCATTTAATTTTTCTACAATTAAGCTTCTTGCTATAGTATTTTGAGTTGCAAATTTTAGGAGTTGGTACAAAAATGATATTAAATTATAGTAATTATACCATTTTACTTCTCCCAGTATAATATGTATAAATTCTTCAGTAAATCCGAATAAACAGTATGTCGATGCGCGTAGCAATGCAACGCTTCGTTCATTTCTCGTTAAACTAAATAAACTACGAGTCAAAATAGACCCTCTAAAAAGATCCCGCAGGCGCTCGCGCACCTCCCTGAGAAGGATTCTGCCAGCTCCTGTCCTGGAATACCCTGTAAAGAATCACTTCGCGATCTACTGCCGTCGCGCGGACGACAGTAGTTTATTAAGTTCTCTTGCCGTATAAAGTATTGTGCCGAGTGATGGTCTGCCGAGTAGTGGATAGGCTGTCCTGCACAGAGTTTAGTCGGACGACCGAGTTCTGTGGTACATGGGTAACACCATTCTCGTGACGGTTGTGGTCAGAACTGGCACACACCATCGCCAGGGCACCACCGTTGTTCCTCGACCCTCTGCAGTGCAGTAGTTCCCGCATACCCTTGCGAAAGTTGCGCGATAGAAAAGCATACAGCAACGGATTCAGGCAGGAGTTCATATACGAGATGAGGAAGGTCGACACGGTCAGCAAAGTGCTGAAGTCCGACGCGTGATCGTAGTTTGGGCCCCAGTGTCGCCAGAGGATACGCGCTTGCTGAGGCAGGTTGCACACGGCGAACATCATCACCACTGCGATCAACATTCTGGAAAATAGTGGTGAGACGTTGATGGTTGGCCCCGAGCGCTGTTTTGAATTTAGAGACTTCTAATACGTCCTTAGGATCGAATGACAATAGATGACAGTCAATAGTGACATAAAATCGTTGATAACACGATCCCTTTGAAAGATTTCTTAAAACTTTTTCTACGTAATATTAATGATAAAGAAATGCGCACTAGGAAAAAAATTGCCTTCAGTAAGGCAGGCATTTTTTAATAAAAATAAAATTTTTGTTTATAATTAAAAATTCAGTTTCTGTTCACTGTACTTTTCAGCTTTGTAAATAACGTAAATATTTATTCATACTAATAAAACAATTCAATTTGTTACCAGTTGATTATTATTATAATATGTATTTATCAAATATTGCCTCAATACGCTAAATAAAATATACGGTAACTGTTATCAGATTTTTTTGGCAGATATGTAGGCGGATATATTAAATTATTGTATTCGATTAAATTGCAATTAAATTGCAAACGCATTAAATGACGAAATGAATGTAATATAATAATATTTGCCCATTATTAGCAAATATACATTTACACTTTGTTATTATATATAGACATAAATATATATGTCTTGAAAATCTTTTGGTGTCTACAAAATTAATTAATATTCAAAAGCGTTAATAAGCAAATGAAATTATAATTTAATTATCATTAACTGTCTCACCGCCGAATCCTCGGACGCAATTGCTCCAACGGATATTAATTTCAGCGAGACGGAAATTGAAGACACTATTACCTACGTGACCTGGAAATAGACATACCTGATAACGCCGCGTCGTGCCTTCAGTACGTTTCTGCTGGACGTGTGTACATGGTGTATTCGACCATTTTTCGTCCTGGCGACTAGGCCAGGTCCTCCGAGGGTCGCGCTGCTCCTCCAGAGACCTATGGCGATCCTTGTGTAGAGGCAGCACAATAGAGCAAGACGAGATTCACCACGTCTAGAACGTTCTTGTTGTGCTTCTTGATATTGGCTATGCAGATAATGTCGACGTCGCCGCTGTTGAGACGATTACTGATGGTCTCAACGTAGAAAAATCTGGGCGAGGCGTACACGGCAGCCAGGATCCATACTACACCTATCACCATTCTAAGGCGTCTCCTGGTCAACATGGACCGACACTTGATAGGATGGACGATGGCTAGGTAACGCTCGGTGCATACTACTACGAGGATCAGTATGCTGGCGGTGTACGAGAGCGCGTGCACGAACATATACACCTTGCAGAGGAAGTCACCCAGCTGCCAGCTGTTCATCAAGTAATTGGTGAGTGTTTGGTAGACGCAGAATATGCCCACGCAAAAGTCCGCCACCGCCAGATTCGCCAGGAAGAAGTTCGTGATGCTGCGCAACCGACGGGAGAATGTTACCACGAAAATCACCATCAAGTTACCTAGAACATAGAAACGTTAAAATTATTAAAACTTGACATTTGAACTTATTGCTAGAAAATAAATTCAAAAATAGTAGATATGTGATTCACATTTCGTATATCACGTTTGGATTTAAAGAGAAAATATTGGCCATCGCGTCTCACCATATCCTCGCCTTTTTTTATGGAATGCCTTCATTCTTTATTTTTGTACTCAAAATCGTTACAAAAACAAGCATTTTCGATGTTGCTCCGATTAAAAAAGCGCATGTCACGAGAACTGCATAAAATGCAGAAAACGAAATGGAGTTGAAATGGAACGTTGTCGCTATTTTGATATGCCTAACACGAACGAATATTCCACACACGTTATTTTCTAAAGAAGAGGCTTACTTGTAAAAGCGTAACATTGATAATAAAATTTATTGCAACTGCATCGCAATAAATTAAAGATTTACCATATATTTTTTTATTTGCAGAGGTCTTTTTACCAGCAATAATTCGCACGTCAATATATTTTCCGCGTAAATGATGGACGTTTGAAACTCCGCTTCTTAAGTCGTTATATCGTCGAGGAGTGATAATAGTGATTTGCCAACTCGAGTTTGAGGAAACTAAGAGATCGCGGTCTCATAGCTTATTATAGAGAGGCGAAGAACAACTCGAGTGAAAAGTTTTGGCGATCCATTAAAGTTGAAAATTATATACCGGTCGCGACAAAAAGGATTTCGTTTCAACTTCCATATTCTGCTAGTTGTCTTTCTTTCCTTCTTCCATAATCACTTTAATCCATCTTATTTTTCGCTCTAAAGATTCTCTCGTGAAATTCTATTCGTAGGACAAAACGGCATAAGACAATAAATCTGCAATGATTCGACGAATGATCGAGAAATTTAAGATGTTGGTTATCGTCGAGTGATTTGCGGCGATTAATCCAATGCAAGTCTTCTTTTCCGAATCGTAAATCCACGTTCGCGGAATTTGTGTCCTACGCTCGTGATTGATTTAGTCGATAACGAGTCATTTGTATTGGAACATTTTAATTTTAAATCCATATTGAATTAATTGTTATTTGGCGTGATTGCTTGGATTTACGTATCAATTATCTCGCAAAAACAACAATTTTGTTCAATTTAAACCATTTAAAAAGTTGACTTAATTAACACTTTTACGGTCTGTCGATGGTAATACTATTGTATTGTATAAGAAATAAGAACATCTATTTTATCAGCATATATATATCTCTATTATTATTGCATGCAACTGTTATAGATAAAAATATGAGCAAAATGTTGCTTGGCAAGACAAAAACAATTATATGCATGACTAACAGTATAATGTAATGTAAAAAACAGCGTAATGATGTTTTGGCTGCATATTATCAGTTAAAAATACTGGCCAAAATCAGCCAAAAAGGCCAACATCAGTCAACATCAGTAAAAAATTTTTGTCGTAAATATGCACTGAAATCATTTGTAAAAACAAAACAAGTTATTTGACTTTTAACGGCTTACGTAGCGTAATTATTATATTTTGCTGCAGTTTTTGGTAAACAATTTTTAAACGAGTGGATTCAAATAAATTTCTGCACGAATATTTATTAAAGCTTTATTAGTATTATACATATAAAAATTTGATTTAATTCGTAATGCTACTTCTTCTTCATCATTTGCAAATAATTATGCCATTTTACATATAAGAATCAAGGTAAAATTAAATAACTTTTAAACCAATAAGAAATTATGCTCAAATTTTAAACAGATACACTCAAAAAAGTGATCTTGCAGTTAGAGCGAAAATTATCTAAGTACGAAAAATAGCTAAAATAGATAAATTTCTAGCAAGTACTGCAATATTGGATATATATTGCATCTAATCATATAGATGAAAGAGATAGAATTTAGATTTGTGCTATAAATTCTATGCGTATGATACATAATATTTTATCAGATATAAAAAAACAGTTATAATTCTAGCTGAAGCAGCAAAATATTTTTTTGCGTATTTATGTACATTTTTTGTATTTTTGCCATTGTTTATTACAGTCAGATGCAATTATATAATGTATACGCGGTCTGTAAGGTAATAATATTTCTTAAAAAGATTGATTATAACTAATATTTAACACTTTGTCAAGTTTCGGAATTGTGTTTAATAATCGAGTCCATTACATTTTATTGTTTTTAAATATTTTAATATAATTTATGTTGTTTCTTTAATATCTTAAATGTTTAGTAAAATCATTCTAATTCGAATAAATATAATTGTCAGCCGTAAATGAGTGACGAGATCCTTGCTAATTTTACATACCGTTCAAATATCCGTAGCGTGGCAATCAAATTAATATAATTTACATTAGCAGAAAATTCGTTTTAAAGATTTATCGTTTAAAAAGAGCAAAATGTTCAGTACGTCGATAAAACGGTGATCGCACCGAGAATGACGAATTATCTTCATGATCGCACATTTGCTCGCGAGATTTTCTGAATGACGCTCGTAAACCGCGCTGAAAAATTATTGTCGAGCATTTTCCCTCCAAACGATAAACGAATTTAATTTTGCGAAGATCTTAAAGGTCGACTTGGCATACTGGCATTCATCGCTCTGTCAATTTTTTTTTCATCATATAAGAACTGCAGTTTTATTCTGACGTAAGACCTAAGCTCAATGGCTTTTATTGAAAAACATTTTTTTCTTTTGTTAAATTCCTCTTATTATTACGATCGACGGAGACGCATTGATCCAGATTAGGAAGTAATTATGAAAATTGTTAGTCGCGATTCATTGAGCATTCTTCTTGAAGTGTCCTCAATTCCCTGTCTTTCAATGCATTCTTTGATTTTCTGGGGACTGATAAGTATTTTTAATGAAAATATGCGATAACTTGTTCCTTGACTTTGGCAAAGGTTAATTTTTCTTTAAAAAATATGTTAAGACGCCCATAATTTTTCAGCTTCTTCGCTAAAGCAAGTTTCAAAGCGCTTTGAAAAAAGTCGGTTTTGTGAATGAGACGCGTATTTGTCTCTCATTTGGCGTGTCCAGAGACACATCAGTGCGTCGTCACGTTTCCGAAAATCTACGGATCAATAGCACAGGTTGGTAAAATTAATTACGCGAAGGAAAGAGAAGTGAGAAATTTGTTTTTCAAAAAGACCGCTTTGCTTGCGAAGGGACTGGAGTGGCGCGTGTGAAAATTAATCTTTCAGTACGTGGCTTAGCGCAGCGCCCATCGAATATAAAAATGCGATTATATCTTTATAAATTTGCACCTAAAAGACGAGAGAAGATCCTTAATTGAAAAATTATTTCAATATACTGTCGTACAAACTGAAAAATAAGTTCTAGAAATAAATATAACGAGGTTCAGATTATTCGTGTTATGCGTATTTTTTTTCTTTAGAAGTGCCTAATTAAATAATGGTCTTTATCTTTTTTTAAATATATAGTAAAAAACATTTTGTATTTGTATTGAATTGGAACTGGTTTTTATAAAAATTATTATGCCAAATTTTTAACATATCTGAGTGTTAATTTAACATAATTGTGTTATTTGAATATTTTTTGTTAATTGACATTATACAATATTTATTAGTATTATAATAACACAATTTATGAATAAATTAACAAATAGAAATAATATATTTTAAAACAAAAATTTAAAAATAAATGAATAAAATGTATTAATTTGACATATTAGAAACGTTAATTTTATTGTTGAAAAAAAAATTGTTTACAAATTATATCAATGTTAAATTTTGTATGTTAATTTTTTACATAATATTTGTGTTATTTTTTAATATATTCATCTTGTGTTAAACATAATTTAATATAAATTTTCCAACTGTGTACTTTTTGAAGATAAACAGTATATATATATATATATATATATGTGTGTGTGTGTGTGTGTGTGTGTGGGTGTGTGGGGGTGTGTGTGTGTGTGTGTGTGTGTGTGGTGTGGTGTGTGTTACATGTACAAGAATCACTTAATAATTTGTACTTGTAAGGATAATGAAAATTAATCTAGTTAAGAACTTATCATGTGTAGTAAATAAAGATCGGAAAATTATCATATGTTAAAAAAATTAAGAAAAGTATTGATTTCCAATGTAAATAAATTTCCTGATGAGGTAAAAGACGGATTCGTGACGGATTGAAAATATACAGATACGTTACGGAAATAGCGAGATTACAAACTCAATAACGAACATTTTACAACATCACGTGCTCCCGTAATATGTATTTGTCGGTTATATTCTCACGTCGGACAAGGTCGAGTGACCGACAATCAGAAATAAGGACGTAAGTTGACGTCGCAAGGGAAATTAATCGACCTCCAAGTATCATACTAGAGACGTCAATTCACGGCTGATATTATGCGAAATCTGAAAGGAATTATTTAGGTAAATCCGTGCGTGAAATTCCAATTATTACGTGAGCTAAGATGTCATTTGATTTTGCTGGTGAATTGGACAATATGGCAATCATGAAATAAAACAAATCTTCTCGTGAGAAGAAAAAAAAATAGTTTGAGAAATACAGTGGATTAGATGATTCGAAACTATGCTATCAAGTTTGCAAATAAATTTTTTAACGTATTTGATTTTGTGCGATCTTAATTTTTTATGTTAAATATTATAATATTAAGTATAAAATTTAAATTTTTATTGATACAAATATAAAATTAAAATAGAATAAGATTTTATTATTCATATTAATCAATAAAAACTTACAAAAAATTTTTTATTTTTCATTGCTTACAATTAAAAAATTTATGTTTCGATATTTTATTAAGAAAATACTTTATAAATCATTTTATTTGTATATCAATATTTAATATAGTTTATAATTTAAAATTATAAATTCTATTATACATACGATTAAAAAACAGAGACTGCTGCAACGAATGTGGAATTTCGAAAATTAATATTGTATAAATATTAATTTTCATGGAATCATCACTCACGTCCCATCATACAGATATTTTCCTCATTATTATTACGCAACATGACTGTTACTCTAGG